ATCAATACCTCCCGCACACCCAGATCCTATGGTTTCATCCCCACTATGCATTTCAAGACAAAACTGTCGATCTTCTTCCAGCCACGGATAATCGTTGTTCTTCTCCCAATACAGACTTCGACATTCGTCAATTTTTTTGTTAAAATATCGTAGATAGCCAATAGAATGTCCAAATACGGTCACTTTATCGTCCGCACCAATAACGTACTTTTTGTCAACCATATCAATTTTGCAAATCTTTGAATCAAACTTCAACGCTTTCTTCAGTAAAATCACAGCTATTGTTTGAATAAAAATTATACATTAATCAATTGAACATATGATTGTGTGATAATATTTTCTCTTGCCTATGTCATTAATATAAGTTTGATCTTTGCTGTAATTCGGATGTACGATGATTTCTTGTTTGCTAACGTTCACGGTGATATATTGTTTATCTGTATCTATTGTACCAAGTTCCAAAGTCACTGAGTATTTGTTCTGCACGCAATGGGCCGCGGCCAATACTTTGTTATTCGCTATGATCGTGGCAGAACACAAATATCGACTACCGTTACTATCTTCTTGGTATAAAAGTCCAGCCGTGTACTTATGGTCTGTGATATTAAGAACCAAATGGCTTTCAGTTCTCGTTTGACTACTTGAGCCCGTCGTTTGTCTACTCGGAACACTTGCTTGACGGCTTGATGCGTCTGCTTGTCTAGATTCAACTGTTCAAATGAATAAGTTCACGTCACTGAAAGTTTCAACAAAAGTAAAGAAAAAGATTAATTACCATTGGATCTGCCTGGACGGAACACCTATGAATAAGAAAAAAGATTATCAATTCACTGATAAGTTCAAGCGTTCGAACATGCATGGGCACAAATCGTCCAAGCCGAGAGTTGAGTATTCTCTCAAATTGGTAGGTTTTTTGATGGGCGCTGTTCCCATGTATGGTCTTAAAAAACAAAAATTCTGTTTGTAATCAATTTACCCTGGGATTATCGATGAATGCACGATGGTATCCAGTAACTGAAGTACAAACATGGGTCATTTCATTCATTGAATATGAAATGATGCCAAGAAACTTTTTCGTTTCCGAAATGATCACTCCTATAAAATGAACGCAACTGCAGTAATTGTTTCATATTTAATTACGGATTTGGATTATACCTCCGGCATATTTTTTATTTGTATTTTCATTCACCATAAGACAGAATTGTTTATCTCTCTCTAAATTGGCAGATCCAGAATGTCCATCTCGACATACTTCAAAGTCTGCCATCGTAGAATTAATGTATCTCAAATGAGTGTCGAAATAATTCCGACTTTGGCTGTTGGATTCCGAATATCCCTATTTTTTAACAGAGTTATGCATGAATCGTTTTAAAATTGCATTAAAAATAGAATCAACGAACCAATATTTGTACATTCTCGCCTGGTTTTGCCACATAGTTCGTTGGAACCATCTCTATTTTATCGATTTTTGAACCGAATTTTAATGGAGACCTAAGAATAATAAGGGCAATATCATTTTGCCAAGCCGAATCACCTTTGCTATACTCTGGATGAATGAATATTTCTCCTTCACTAATGTCAATGCTATGAAATGGTTCATCCGTATTTACAGTAGCGATAGCCAAAGTAATGGCACCTTTTGAATATAAGCAATGAGCAGCAGTAAGTATCTTAACATTTGATAAAATAGCCGCCCCGCATGTATCAGTGTTGACTTGCGAGCTAATGGTAGTATTTTTCTTATTCTTATACATGACTACAGCCATGTACTTATGATCTTCAATTTCGTGAACTGTCAATAGAAAAGGATAGATGCAATTATTACTTTTTTGGATATTTGTTTCAATGATAAAAACCTAGTCCGTTGCTGCTTCCACGATATTTCTAATGACATTCACCATTGTAAGTAAGAAAAAAGTTAGACAGACTATTTTGTCCAGTGTATTACTATTATTATAAATTCATTTATCCACAAAAATCTAACATTAAGTAAACAGGTCTTGCAATTGGATATCAGGCCGAACATTGACAAATTGTACTTACTCTAGGATTCGAGATAAAGTTCCGATATCCACCGATTAACCCAAACACTTCAGCCAACCCCTCCCTATCATAGGAAACTATACCGAGATATTTCTTATCCCTTGTCACAGCGGGGCCTATTGAAAAAATCGTATTTTAAAAAAACCCATCATGAAAACAAAAGTCTCATTTATGAACTCAAATGATATTTTACATACTACCAGAGTCTCCTTTGTTACTTAAGTGAACCTTTCCATGCTTCAAGCTAACACAAAAATATAGTTGTTTCGCTAAAATATCTCTTCCATACGTTGCTTTGCATCTTTCGAAGTTCGCAATTGTTGAATTAACATGCCGTAAATGATATTTATATGGTTTGACTATACGGCCAGGTTCTTCAGATTCTGTATATCTGAAAAAAAAAAAAATATTCATGTTCTATGAAATTCAGTTGGAAATTTAGCATTCAACCAATTCACCCCAACACGGTAACATGGTCTCCCGGATTCGGCATATAACCTTCATCAACCATTTCAACCTTATCTACTCTGGAGCTGAATTTTAACGGAGTCCGAAGATTAATCACAGCTGTTTTAAATAAAAATTATGCATCAATCAATTGAAAATAGGATTGAGTGATATTATTTTTTCTTGCCTATGTCATTTGCAAGGTGTCCATCGATAGCATATTCCGGATGTAGTACGACATCTTCATCTCTTGTAAAGTTTAATGCTTGATAAGTTTCATTTATGTTTAATGTACCGGCTATTACTGAAATCGTATTCGATTTGTTGTATATGCAGTGCGCTAAAATTGAAAGATGCAATATGTTTTATTGTGAATATTACAGACTAATATGAGTTACCTGCCGTTACTACTTTCCACGGCGATACAATCGCACCACCACTATATCAATCGTTATAATAATTCCATTACTAGTCATACAAACTATTAAATATCGTTAGTAATAGTTACCAATAATAATAGCGATATGTAGAGTTTTCGTAGTACCAAAGTCCAACCATGAAATTGTAATCCTCGATTCTATCTACTAAAGAGCCATAAACAATTGCTTGCACAAGTACATCAACTCTTGACGGCTTAAAAATACAAATAGGGAAAGGTATGAAAACATTGGATTTTTCTTTTGGATAAGAGATCACCACGTCGATATGTAATTAACACAAAAAAGTCACTTACAAAATATTTCGTTGATATAACCAGAGCGAAAAACACGGTAAGTAATTTCATTATTCCAATTAAAATAGCCGAGATAGTGACAGAATTTTGATACTGTTGGTTTCGATTGAAATTTTATAAATGAGAAAGTGGTACAGCCTTTTATTTTATAAATGAGAAAGAATGTATTCACTCACAATATCGATACTGTCTAACAGAAGTTCGCTTCCGCAAGTAAATTTTTCGGTGAATAATTATAAATAATTTTCATCTCCATTATGATGTTAATTATTCATTTATTGTTCCCCTATCCTACCAAAACAACATTTTTATTTGAAAAAGTGGCAAAAAATTTATGATAATTTGATTCCATTCATTTAAAAATTCAATATTATTTGCCAAATGTCAATTAATTATATGATGAAAATTCGAATTATTCAAAATGATGAATATACATTTTTAATGGCTGACAATTCCGTTTTAATTAAACTTCATTTGTCTTCTGACACGCTTATACGTAGGCGACTATTTAAGTTTCTTCAATATGTATGTTTTAGTATTGCCCGATGCAAACCATTGTCATATTCGTTAAGTTTAACATTTTGTAGCATAAACGTTCTCAGAACGTTTTGTCATTCGATCGTTATTTGTATTGTTTACCGTAACATGTAAATTGCGTCTCAGCCAAAAAATGAATTTTACTCGTGAAAATTTTCGAGCTATTATTTTTTTCCACTTTCGATTGGGTGTATCACAACAACAGTGTTTTGATCAACTTCATTTGGCCTTTGGCGATGAAGTACCAAGTCTTCGGACAATTTATAATTGGTACAACGAATTCAAGCGCGGTCACCTATCGCTCATCGACGAGTTCCGCGAAGGTCGTCCAAAATCAGTTGTTGTACCAGAAAACATCGATGCTGTCAGAAATATGATAATGGAAGATCGTCATGTAACATATCACGAGATTGAGGCATCCCTGGGCATTAGTGCGACCAGCGTATTTAAGATTTTACATGAACATTTAGCTGTCAGAAAGATTTGCTCTCGTTGGATACCACATAATTTGACAATCGCTCAAAAAAAGGCTCGTGTCGATTGGTGTAAACAAATGCTCAAGAAATTCAATCGTGGTGTTTCAAAATCCGTGTATTTTATCGTCACTGGTGACGAATCATGGATCTACGCGTATGAGCCCGAAACTAAACAGCAGTCGACTGTATGGGTCTTTCAAAGTGAAGATAACCCAACAAAAGTTGTTCGAGCTCGAAGTGTTGCGAAGCAAATGGTCGCCTGTTTTTTCGCGATAAGTGGTCATGTGGCAACAGTTCCACTAGAGGCTCGTAAGACCGTCAATTCTGATTGGTACACCACCATTTGTTTGCCCGAAGTGTTTGATGAAATAAGAAAAAACAACCGCCGTCGCAAAATAATTCTTCATCATGATAATGCGAGCTCTCACACATCTCATCAAACAGTCGATTATTTGACCGGTCAAAAGATCGATTTAATGGGTCATCCGCCGTACAGTCCTGATTTGGCACCCAACGATTTCTTTTTATTCCCGAGCGTGAAGAATAAACTGCGTGGTCAACGATTTTCATCGCCCGAAGAAGCAGTTGATGCGTTCAAAACACACGTTTTGGAGATATCACTTTCGGAGTGGCATGAATGCTATGACAAATGGTTCGAGCGAATGCAAAAGTGTATTGATCATCATGGCGAATATTTTGAAAAACAATAAAACCATTTTCGATGAAACCCCATTGTCTTATATATGTTTTTGAAAAAACTTAAATAGTGACCCTCGTATTATATTATTATCCAAATGCTTGAATTTTAAGATCTAATAATATTCAATCCAAGATCTATGCAGTAAGTATACAAACATGTGATCAAAATATAAGCAAAAAATGTTTTCCAGATGCTCTAAAAAAGCAAAATTTGTTGTAGTATTCCTTAGACTAAGATGCGTCAAATGAACTTGAATAAATAAATATATACGTGTGTTTCGTTCAAGTCAATTTGAGTACGTTTATTAAATTAAATTAAAAGCATGGAAAGTGTTTCATTCTGCGCTGATGTCAGTAATTATCCGATAATTAAAGAACCACACTTTGCATCCAAAATGCGCATAAGTTGTGTTAAAAATTTCAGACTCACACTTTTGCACAACGAAATCCCATATCCGTTTGGTAAATTTTCAGTTTTCTTTTTTTTCTATACAAAAGTGACTTTTCTTCAGATTCTTGCAAAAAGTTTAGATAAGATGGAGACAATTTTGGAATTTTTCTCCTTTTCCCAGTATGAATGGTACATCTTTTCCCGACATCGACCAAAGATTTGACAATTCATCCATTAATTCGACATAAGCACGACAAAGCAACGCAAGCGAAGAAATGAATAAAAGAAACAAAAGGTAAACAAATGTTGCGCTGTTGCCATTGCTGTTGTTAACTTAAAGTCGTTAGCATTTACGGCACTTATACAAGCGACTCTGTATACATACACACTACATACGTTTTTGTAGCGTAGCCGATATCTTCAGAACGTACGTACGACGCTTGTACATTGAGTTTAAGTGAGGTCGTTGCGATTCGCCCGAAAATTATTTACCTTTTTCCAAATAAAAAAATCATTTCTATTTGAATTTTGAATAAATTTTACACAATTTCAACTATTGTGTGCACCCAATCAATTCGATACGAAACAGACCATATTCAGAATAAACGAACAATTAATATGGAAATCGCACATGTGTTGAGCACCATCAACAGCAGCACACAATGGCACATTATGTGAGTGTCTTTATATAGTTTGTAGTGTTTGTACGAAGAATGGTAGGAAGTAAAAGAACGAAGAAGCATTTCTGTTGAGGCGAATGCGCCGCCGGTTCATGACATCGAAAGAAAGAGAGAAAGACATGATCAAGTTAGTTTTTACCTGGTGTTACAAGTGAACGGAACCACATGTTCGTTCTCTCGTCTTGATTTTGACATTTTTTTTTGTGGGCAAAAAGAAGCCAAAAAAAGTGCAAGCATATAACTTGGTAATTTGCTTTGATTTTTTTGTATGGAACGAGTTGAATTTTAAAAATATATCCAGATATTGCAAGAAGGCGAGACAGACTCTGACAGTTGTTTATGTAACAAACAAATCGGGAAGTGTTGTTTCATTCCGTGAAATTTAAACTCGAATATTGCAACAACTGAACACTCAACTTAACCGCAAATGATTGAAATCCGTGAAAACTACGGACAACAATTATTTTACAGTGAAATTTGACGTTGAGATTTAAAAATAGCGCTGAATTTCAACGTTAAAATATCAAAATCTCACTTAATAACACCGTATAAAGTAAAAGAGCAACGAAAAAGAAAACTTGAAATAGCAATAAAACCGAAGAAAAATTGTACATAGATTTGGCCAGAGTTCGTTTGCATATTGAAAGACTATAATCACGAATTGACGGGACAGAAGCAGAAAAACAAAAAACACGACGCAGTACACGAACCCGATCACCAAACATAGATACATGGTGTATGTTTCATCTTACGGTCATGGTGTAGTTCGATAAAACAAAAAAAAAAACTTTTTACTTGAACTGAAAAACTTTACAACCAAAAGGTGCTGTACAACCAAAAGAAATTGTAAGAATTGTGTGCAAGAGACTTAAAGTCGACTATAATTACCGTATCGAAGAATAAAAGCAGTGATATCAACAAAGTAAATTGTGTATTTGTGTTAAAACATTCTTGCGCCGTTCTATTTTCTGTGACGGTATTTGTTTAGTCTTCTCTTAGCGTGTGGATTCTTTCATTTTCGTTCGCTTTCCCGCTGTTCGATCAGAGAAAACGCTAGAATTATCACACATATTGCACATTCACATAAACACGTTCGAACTGCTCTCTGCAGAAGTTTATTGACGTCGTGAGGAAGCTGTGGCATTTATGTGCAAAATGCTTATGACATAACAAGAAAAATATGATACAGTGAAATTTGTTCTAAAGAAACCAAATTTTCGATGTGAAAACTTTTGTATCAAGTTTTAATTTTTTATGTAAATTGAATGAGCATATCGTTACATACGTTTATGTGAATTGTCTTCGATGATGAGAATTTTTGTTGCAGACGAAACGTAATCAATCGACGAATGAGCGAGAGAAAAAAAACCTTGGAGAGAATTGCATGAGAACGGCAACAAAATAGACGGACGTGCGTTCTTTTATAACAAGAATAAAGAACGACCTCATGTACTTACGTGTGCCACATTAAACTTGTTGTGAAACAGGAGTGTATATGTTGTGAATTTTTTGTTCCTCGCAATATATTCCGTTCGGTTAGTGGGCTCCTATTGAAGAGTTCGTTATCTGGCATCAAGTTTAGAAACGAATGAAAGAAGCGAAAAAAAAACAACAAATTCTCATTTGCCAGTTTGTGCTATCCAAAGTTTTCTTGTTTAGTGTTTCTTTTGATCGAAATTGGTTCGCCAGTTTGTGTGTGTTTTCTTCTTGTTTCCAACGTGAGCGAAAACAAAGTCAATTTTATTTGCCAATCTCGTTTTGTGAGAGCGCTTGATCTGAATATTTTACCATTTTTCGTGTTTTGCCAATCAAGGTGCATCATGTCTGAGTGGATGGCGTAAAATTTTATTGAGACGAAGCGCAGGAAAAAGACGACGTTTCATGTGAAGTAAAAAGAAAAAAATTGTCTATATATATCATATAAGTATGATGCATATAAAGTTTTAACGTGATTGAGTATTTCATTTATTATTATAGTGTAACTTTAAGAGAATCTTCCGTGACATTTAAAGCATAGATTGAGAGAGAGAGAGAGAGAGGGAAAAAAAAAGTCGACGAGAAGAAGAAGAAAACAAGTTTGTAACATCCGTAACAACAATATAAGCAAAGAAGTGTGAAGAAAGACAGGCAATATCGTGCGTTGCACAAAGAAAGGTAAGTCCAATCCATTCTCATTACCTAATTAACATTAGCCGGTGTATGTTGGCGTGCATATACACTCACACTCATGGGTAACCATATCGCGATGAGTATGTGTGCGGCGTTGTAAGTCGCATCGGAACTTATGCGATACAATTTGACTCGATGAGCGTCTTATTTTATGATCGTTCGCAAGAAAAGACGTAATTTATAGAGGATTGAGTTATTTTATAACCAAACGTAACAAGCATTTCAGTTGAACTGAAACGCAAACGAGCGACTCTCATCTCTTGGATAGATGGTTTTTTTTTTCTTTCTCTCTTTTGCCATAGCAATAAATTGTTGTTGTTTACTGTGAAGTTCTACAGATATTCAATTTGATGATGGTTTTTTTTATATAATTCGGTACGCTGTGCATACTTGTTGGGGGTCATGTCTTTGTTTTGCTATGAAACAAAATAGCGATAGCATAGAATATCTAAGCGAACAACAAGACATTTTGCCAATACAATCACACCATCCAATCAATATTACCACACACTGAAAATTAACATTTCTCAATGGAACAATGGTATTTTTCCAAGCATTTCATACATTCTATCGCAATGAAAATAATACAGACACATAAACAGCGAGACATTTTGCTAGCTATAGTCTATGTGCTTCTGTCAAAACAATGGATTCTGTGTTATTTGTATGCTGGGTGTTAGTTTTTTTTTGTGAGCTCTGATTTAGATACTTCGACTTGATTTTCCCATTAGACATTGTTCTATTGGGTTTTGGTGTTTCAATGTTGCAATTGAGTTGTTTGCAGTGTTGCAATGATTACCACAAAACTTGGATTGAATAAACTGTTCTCCACAGCAGTAGACAGACACAATTTCATTCGCCCATTCAATGGATCGCATTCATGGTGAACCATTTTACGCATCAATCGATATAAAATTATTTTAATTATGCCATGACATGTATCTTTCAAACCATTTGTGTGTGTGTTGATTTTCAAGTGTGTGTACTTCGAAGTATGTGGACCACTTGAATTTCGTCTAAGTTGATGAAATCGAGCAAAAAACGCCAATTAAATGACATCAATATATAATGTATTGACTCTTCTACGTGTCTTGTTAGCGCCCTCAATCGCCTTAAGATATTTTCGGCATAATTTGACTCCAACACTAAATCGGTCTCGAAATTCAATTCAATTGGCTTCATTTGCTGTGGCACTTCTTGCCATTCAAACAAGCATAACGGTATTTTGATCGCATCAAAAGATGTTCGACAACAATCAAAGAAAGTCATGAGACAATGGGACAGATAGAGAGAGAAAGATGACTGCTTGAAAGCCATGATGCGATTTTCGATCCGAGCGGCTGCTATTTTGCATTATAAATCGTATCCATTTCTCCATTTTCGAGATAAATTATCTGTATCTGTAATATGATATAGTGTGACGGTATATTTGATGTAATATAATGGCGAGCGTGCAAAAAGTGGAAAACAATAGCGGCGGCAGCAAAGAAGGCAACGACGACGACGTCATACAAAACAAAAATATTGAATTAAATGGTAGCGTTGAAAAACAATAACGAAAAAAAAAACAGAGCATAAATGAACCAAACACAAAAGCATCATTTCCTTTAGCTTAGCTGATTTTTACAATCGAGAAGCTACAAAAGTATCGCTTTTTTGTGCATGTGATCAATTTTTTTTTCGCTTCTGGCATAATTGCTTTGATGCTTAATACATAAGCTGCTAATGAAAGTTGCTGCCTTTCCGTATTGTATATGCTTTTTTTGCACTCGATTTGCACGTTTCAAGAGAGTTTTGCACGGTATAGTGAAACAAATCCCTTAATCGAGACTTGTCTATTCTATTTTCTAATGCGGTGAAAAATAAATAACAGAAAAAAATTCGACCGAACATAAAATGGTAAAACAGCGGAAAATATTGTTTTCCTCAATTCGAAAATGGTACTTGTGTCGGCTTATGCTACATAATTTCTGGTTTTATTGTTTGGTTTATTTCACATGTAAAACGGCTTTTAGTCTTCCAGTACAACACTCGTGTCTATATAAATATATATGTGTTTAATGTGCAATTCTCGTAAATCACATGAGTTTTTTTGTACATTGACAGTTCTGTAGAATAATACGGCGCACCAATTGTTTCATTTTGCCTCTCATTTTTTGTACCTTCATTGTGTTTTTGCTAATAGCCTGAAATTGCGAAAACTTTTATTTAAACAAGAAACGTAAACAAGTCGGAAAACTACTTCAGAATCCGTACATTACATAGAATCTGTTACACACAAACATTCATTAAATGGAATAAATCCACATAACTGTTGTTTGCCATACTCACGTAATATATGTGTGTGTACATTTAACGTGCGTTCATTCAGTACCATATGAACGTATTTAAATCAGAACAGATTCTGGAGATCACGATAGAGAGAAAATCAAAAAACATCACTCGGCGATAAAATGAAATGCGCTCGAAGCCATCCATTTAGGTTAATATCAACGAGCTCAACTTTCGTCTGCCTTTAAATTGAATCATTTAAAAGTGTGAAGAAGAAAAACACCTCGTTAGGAATGAGATATACAAAAAATAAACTGTGTCCAAACAGAAAATTAATTAAAAATCTCATGAAATTGTTTCAAATTGATTACTCGCTCATTTTTCAACGAAACTAAATTAATTGCTACGGACAAATTAACCTTTCTCTTCGGCAAACTCTTTTTTGTCTGTTACTTTCCAGCTTCGATCTCATTGAATATATTGCATGAGTCAAATTGTTTTTGCCAAAGATTTTAATCGACAAAGAAATTTGTAAGTTTTTTTTCTTGCTCGCCGCCATTCTGAGTAGTTTTTTCCCCACTGTGTGTGCAACATAATAATAATGATCAATTTGTAAGGTCAAGCGTTCATGCATGCATGATTAACTGTTTTTTATTGTTTTACAAGTGCGGTTTTTCTTTCTGCACACATACAAATTGACCAATTCGTTCGAAATGCTTACTTTTTATGCATCATTCCACATGTATAAAGACATGATTCTATTCTAAATGATGATTGTTCATGCATGAACGTTGAATTTATTCTTTCTCCAATTTTCTGAAGCTCTTTCTTTTTTATATTTAAACTCATTTTCATTCATCATTTCGAATCGTGAAAGACGTCGAGAAAAAGAGGTGTTATTTCCGTTTCAGCATTTATTCCATGGGTTTTGTTTTCTTCGAACAATTCGTGATTTCAATTTGCATAAAATTGTTTAAGTATTTAAAAATTCATTATAAATATTAATAATTACAATATACATGCGCACGGTTCCGTGATCGTTTCTTTTATTACACATTTGGCTTCCTGCGATGCACACTTGTGATGATTCCATAAATATTTTGATGTTAAATGCCAGTGGGAATTTATTTTGTGAAACAACCGAGTCGAATGTGTAAAACGATTTTATATGGACTTGTGAAACGAAATATAAAATGATTTTTTAATAATGTATTTTCACCTCATTTGGAATAAAAGAATATATAAAAAAAATGTGTGACTCCATTTCACAAGTGAAATGTCTACAATTAAATGAAATCACGAAATTTTCTCACTTTTGAAATACATCACATCTCCGAGACGTTCCCCGTTAAATATCAATTACAATTTTACCAATCGTACATTTCATATAAACAATAGTAGTCTCACTTTTACTCGACGAACATTTCACATATTTCATTTATTATCTTTAATTAAATTAATGAAGTTATAAGGAAACCAACGGCATTATGCGTATCATGATTTTATCGGCTAAAAACCTCATTCACATCATTATATTCGCATTTCAATTCTCAGTAAAATGCAAACATTGCGACAAATTTGCAGAGAGAAAAACACTCATCAAAATTATTTATATAAAAAAAAAGATTCGTGCGGTTTTATTGCATTTGTTTAATGCACACTTTTCCCATGGATAAAACATTTGATACAGAGTTATAATTGCTAAACTGGAAAATAATTCTCCGACTGAAAACAGATTCGTTTCTTCTTTTTCGCAATGCAACTGTTTTCTATCTTTTTTTTACTGAATAGGAGTTCGCATTCATTAAATTTAGATTTTAGTGCAAATGCAACAAAGTAATCTCATCTAGAGTTTTGTGGTTTTGTACAAACAGTGTATTCAACTTTGTCACACACATTTGCCGAAAATTAAACGTACTGTTTTGTTTGCTCTCTTTGATGACTCTGTTGAGGTTTTTCATTTCAAGTGAACCAAGGTAAATTTTAACGGAAAACAGATTTATATCAAATGTGCCTGAAACAACATTTCCACGAAATTTATTCTCGTCGATGACAATGGCCATCTCGTTACTTTTTTCGCTAGAACTAATTAATTTTTGAATTTCATCATTGAAGCTATTTATCAACAAAAAAAATGCATATGTAATTGAGATAAAATCAAATGAATGAACATGCGCTTGAACTGTGATGGTTTTTTAAAATGCATTTATCACGTCGAAGCCAATGGGCTATACTATATGATTTCAGTGATAAAAATAACAGATTGCAACATGGAATGAAGCCATCGGGAACGCTGGGAAAAAATGTACTATCAATCAAATATGTCAATGAGTTTGCTGAAAAGCGCTTTCCGCATCGAATGTGTGGTTGAGCATATTTTCTGAATTCAGTCAATATCCGATGGGGCTAGAGATACCCCTCGAAAAAGTTCTGTTGTTGGTTTCAGAGCGAAAGAGTTCCAGATCGGAGATATTCAATTAAAAAGCAATAATGACACAATGTGACTGAACACACGAGAGCAAGGAAAACCTCATGTGCCAAACAGCTGGAATTTTTTTCCGAAAAACAAAAAACAAAGCGGCAGACCATTCATCCCCTCATCAAACATCAAGAGTATATTTATTCACACATTTTCAACACGGTGCATGTGCTGATTATATCAGTTATCGCATTCAAATGTGACACATGAGCGGAACTCGCTTTTTTTTTAAATA